GACGGGCGCAAGTGCCTTCCAGGTCTGGACCCGAGGAGGAGCTGGGCCTCCTGAAAGACTAGAGAGCAGGAAGGGCCGAGGGCAGGTGTGTCACCACTTACTGTTCTCTGCCCGCCCCCCCCCACCACCACCGGGTCCCCTTTCTCTCCTTCTAGAACCTCCTTTGAAAACCAAGATCTGTCCAACCCACACCCAACCTAGACCCAACATTTCCTAGGTGCACCCACCCTAAGTTGCACAGACGAGTTCCTGGCTGACAGGCTGTGAGGGCAGCTGACGCCAGTGCCCCTGGGGCAGACACACGGCAGCCACTGAGTCAGGCCTGCCTGTAATGCTGTGACTTCCACAGCGTCCCTGCTGGGGCCCTTCAGCCCAGTGGGAGCCAACCCCGAGTTCTCTGCATCTCCTGGCCCCCATCCCTGCCCAAGGAGCTCCCCCTTGTGTGGACACCCACTGCCCTACCGGGCCTCTCCACCCTATGCCCAGCACGGACTGGCCCCAGCAGAGAGTGGCAGATGGGGTCCTGGGTCTGGCCTGGGGAGGGGGCTGTCCCTGGAACGGGGTGGCCTCTCAGAGCATGGGGCGGGGGCAGCTCTCAGGCCTGCCCTGTGGGGACACGGTGCCCGCTCCACCTGGAGGCCGCTCCCTGCGCCCCCTTCCAGAGCTTCCCTGGACGTTCCTACGCGGGGCGGGGAGCCCTGGCATCCCCAGCCGCTCTCTCTCTTCCATGGGAAAGACGAGGGAGGAGAGAAAAGCCGTATTAATAAAAGAATAGGATACTGCGACTAACTCTGCAGCGTGTGCAGCTCAGAATAGCAATGTGCTTTCTCAAGGCAAACAGAACTCCCCAGGTGTTAATGCAAATTCACTCCAGTTAAGATGAAAGAGGGTTGTTTCCCCCTTTGCTGGCTAATATGAAGGACTTAATAGATTCAGCTTTGGGAACTTCGGGCTGGGAGCAGGAGGCTTGGGGTGGGGGGGGGTGGAGGCGTGGGCAGAGAAGGGAGGTCCCCACGGGCTTCAGGGCACAAGGCAGCTGCCACAGAGCTGCCTCCTCCCCGCCCCCAGGCTGACAGGAGCTGGGGCACTGCTCGGGAGGAGGCAGTGGGAAAGCCCAGGGGGGCAATGTCAGCCCCCTGTCTCGGTGCGCGCTGCCCTTCACATTAACTTGGGGTCTGAGGCCACAATTGCCAGTCCCTCGTTGGTGCCAGAGGAGCGTGGAGCTCGGAGAAGGCAATGACCGGGGCACCCGGTTCCAGTCCAGCTCGCAGCCGTGAGTGCCTCTGTAGGAGAGTGGGTCACTCACTTCCCATTGGGCTCCCTGGGAGGGTGAAACTGGTTTGACAGGGCCTGGGGAGGCCAGGCCTGAGGAATTCCTTTATTTTTTTTTAAAGAATTTTTATTTATTTATTTGACAGAGAGAGAGCACAAGCAGGTGGAGCAGCAGGTAGAGGGAGAGGCAAGAAGCCAGATGAGGGGCTCAATCCCAGGACCCTGGGATCATGACCTGAGCCGAAGGCAGTCGCTTAACCAACTGAGCCACCCAGGCGCCCCTGAGGAATTCCTTTAAAACATGAGATTTGAAGACTACTGGAACAAGAAAGGGCCTCAGAGTTCCTCTGGCCCAAGCCTGACCTTGTATAGCCAAGGACTTGGAAGCCCAGAGAGTAGAGGGACTTACCCAAGGCCACACAGCTGCAAGCAGAGAGCTTCTGAAGGACCATACCGCAGGGCCTGCTCTCCTGGAAGCCTGAGTGGCCCTCTGTGGGACACAGTCTGGGTGGCTCTGCCAGCCACAGGCCCCTTCATCCCATGACAGAGGGCAGGAGGGTGGGGGCGTCCTTCTCCAACCCCGGGGTCCCTGGGCTAAGCTGCCTATCCCAGACCAAGCAGATTTGGCACACATATTTCCCCCAGAATTATCCTCCATAGAAAATTGCCCGCGGTCCCCGCTGGGCCAGTCCAAGGAGGGGGAGGGGGACACCACGCAGGGGCTGGCCTGCAGCTGGGACCCTGAAAGGCGTCTCCGGGCTCAGCTGAGGACAAAGGGTGACTTCAGGGAGATCCAGGGGGACAGAGGGCGGGAGCGCGGCTGCCCCCACCGATCCATTTCTCTTGTCTGCATGTCTTTCAGGGCAAATGGCACAGCAGGTGCCCTAAGGAGACACCTCCGCAGCCTCTTCCCTTTTGTTTACTGACTTAATTCCTTCAGATCGAAGACTGCCCCTTCCTCCCCTAGCAGGCAGGCGGGGGAATTACATTATTTATATTGGAAATGGGCAAGAGTCCGTGGGGACTTCTTCCTTATGCCTGATAAGAGAAAATCAGGTCACTGCCATGCCTCCCTGGTGTCTGCGGGCTGGGTTCTCACAGCCCAGGCACCCACAGGCTCAGGAAGAGCACCAGGTGCAGAGCCGGCACTGCCCACCCAGCCCGTGTGTCACCCTGAGCCTCCGGTAAATTATTGACCGGAGCAGCGGGTATTAATGTGACAACACCAGAACATCCTTTCCACGCAGCCCCAGCCTGGGTTATCTATCATCTCCTTTGCAACTGGCACTGGGCAAACACAGCGAAGACAAACAGGCCAGATGCAGGTTCATTAAGTTCCCGCTGCAGGTGGAGGGATGGGGCCCCCCCGTGGGGGCCGCTGGTGGGCTTGACCCTTCGGAGTCACGGCTTCCTCTGGGTCACCACTGCTTCCTCCTGCAATGCCCACCCCGACCCCCACAAAGAAGCGTCCAGCTAAAGAGCCACCCCTCACCAAGTGGCACCATGCTTGGAGCTCTCTTACTAATCCCCACAAAACCCTGTAACTTGCCCGGGGTCACACGGCTGGCAAGTTGCTGAGGGGGGATTGGAACCCAGGTCTGAGTTCCAAGTCAGAAAGGGCTGAGCCCTTCAGCTCTGTGGTCTCCTTAGCCCTCTCCCCCGCTGGGCGTAAAGAAAAAAATGTGTTTCCTTCATGAGCGCCGCTCCTATTACTTGTAAATAATGGTGACTGCCCCACATCCGCACCCTTTTTCTTAGAAATCTGAGTACTTTTTGCGTCTGCTCTTGACGTTATTCTGACAACATTCCAGAGGTACCCAGAGAGGTCATTATCAACCCTCTTTTCAGAGGGGGAAACAGGGGTTAGGGAAGCAAAGCTCCTGGCCGGCAGGCAAGGGGGAGCCTCTCCCCGCTCTGACTGCAGCAGTCCTCATGGGTCTTGATTTCTCTGGCTCAGAGGCAACATGCCAGGTGCTATTCTGGGGCTGCCGCCCCAATGAGATGGGCATCAAGCGGGCACCAGGAGAGGACGCGGCGAGGGTTCTGCTCTGAGTCAGCTCAGGGGCTCGCAGTGCTGATGAACGGCCCGAGCCCGCTCCCTGTAAGCGAGCTCCTGACTCCCCCCAGAGCCGGCAGCAACCTGCCATAATGCAGTCATGACAGGCTGCCAGGGAGCCCCATCGCGGCGGCCGGCCGAGAGGGGAGACGGGCCCTTGGCCTCCCGGCGGCCTGGGGTGAGAGGGAGACAGAGGATAAGCAGATGGCTCGACTTTCTCTTCCCCCAGACATGCAAGAAATTGGATTCAACGTGGTTGCACCAACACCTTTCCTCCCAGAGTCCTGCGGCCAGAATTCACCATCGTACGTGGGTGGCTCCCTCTCCATTCCTCCGAAGCCAAGGCTTCTGGGGTGGGCAGCCCCGGGAGCAGCCACCAGGCACTCCGTCCTCAGGCGAGGACCAAGGGAAAAGGACCAACTGCTGGTGGGGAGGTCAGAAGGAGCCACTGAGGGACCCCCATTAAGTCCTACCATTAAGTCCTGAGGTCTGGCCAGCAGCTTTGGGTTTATAGCACTGTCAAAACAAACTTAAAAAAAAAAAAAAAGCGGAGTAGAACTCAACCGGTCTCCCCAGTACCAAAATACCGGGTAATATTATTAGTTCTCATCCCACTTAACGGAGCTCTCAGGATCTGTACGGGCATATTACTATCTGTTGGGGGTTGGCTTTAAAAGGTCAGGTAAAAATATTGTCTGGGCAGCTTCAAATAACCAGTATTTATGAAGTACTTTTTCTGGGTCACACTACAGGGGAAACCAAACTATTTCCAATCACTGAAAATAACAATCTACATTTTTAAAAAGTGAAGCACTTCCGTATTGTTTATCTAAGTTTAATTAGCTACCGGTTTTATAAATTTAAAACCAACAAAATATTGTCTACAAATTTTGCAATTTCCTAATTCTCTAACTTCAAACGTATCTTTCCAAGATATATTTTAAAACTTTATATTTACCTCCAACTCCTGGAAATTTGTGTGTATTCTGATAGGTTATTTTCGTGATTGGCCCATACAATGGAGACCTGAAATGTATTCTGACATGTGGCAGGCCCCTGAGAAGTCCTGATAACGCATGGTGCCGCCTGAATTTTTCATTTTAGGCTGCATGATTTGAGACAGAGATGTCCTATAGGAGTTGTGGTCTTAAAGGATTTTTATTGATTGAAGAAAACAGAAAACCCTAAGCTCTGCAGCAATGCTTCCCAACTGGAAGTGTGAATGCCACGTGGCCTGTGACAACAGCAGGCCTCATCTGTCCTGTGGACCGTGCCCAGGACACTCTGCAAGCCCCCACCCCAAACCCCTCCTCCAGAGCCCAGAATGGGGACACCTGGAAGCAGAAGCACTTTGCCCAGTCTGGCACCCTAGTTTTCAGGTCTGGCACTGAGGGCAGGCAGGGGGCACGGAAAGGAAATGCACCAAGTGCCCCGGGGGCGGGGGGAGGAAGGGCGTTCCCAGGGGAAAGTGTAGTAAGGGGTGCTGTCATCAGCCTGGAAAAGGTGATCCTTCTGTTACTGGTGACATGGGGCTGGAGTTGAGGTCCCGGGGCAGTTAGGGAGGGCGGAGGCCCCGTCTCCTCAGCGCCCGCAAGAGTGAGTGAGCCCTACCACCCAGCCCATCCTGCTGCCTCCATGGCTGGGGCGGCAAGCAAACCAAAGAAGCCCGAGATACTTTTGACGGCTTAGAATTTTTATTAAAACAATCATTTAAATTACAACAATCTCCCGGAACAGAAAATAGCCTTGGAACAAATGCGGTTTGACATCTTGGAAAGGGATGGAGCTTCCCTGGAAGCCCACGGGGGCCACCCTGGCCCCCGGGCAGCCGGGAGGGGCTGTCTCCCCACTGAGGCGGCCCCTCCGGGGGCTGCAAGGCCCCAGCCCTGTCAGCGAGCAGCACTCCGTTCCTGCCCTGGTTGTCAGCCTCTGGATTTGCTGTTCTGATTTGTAAGAGAAAAGAGAGGGAGAGAGAAGCCTGTCCCCAAGATTACAAAACACAGTCACTTAAGAAGTGTTACGTAATGCCACGGGGTGTTGTCTAGCGTGGCCTGGCAGGTACAGGGATAACTGAGCAGACGCCACAGGTCAGAGTGTGGCTGGGGCTGAGGCAGGGCCCCAGTCAGGATGAACGAGGTGGTCTGTGTGCGACAGCGAAGGGCCAACAGCGCGGCCGCACGGGGTGGCACCAGCTGGGCAGCCTGAGAACCCTCAGAAGTGCCCGTAATGAAATCGCTGTGGCTAGGGCCCTGCTCTCAGGGGGCGCACAGAGGCTTCCTTACCTAATAAGCTCCTGTGCCCCCAAAATGTTCACTTGAAAAGAGCACGGTCACCTGAGCCACAGGCACGAGTCCCTGAAAACTGAGCTCCTCTTTCATTCCTTTTCCTTCCACTGTGGCTCAAGGCCTTTCTGAGGGCCACCACCCTCTCCAGCCTCCAAGGAGAGCTGAAGTGTTCCTGGGTGAGCGAGGCTCTGCTGCCCCCCTCCCCCAGTCTGCTCTCGGGCCCCAGGGTGCTCCTGCCACAGCTCAGATGCTAGCTGGCTCCCTTGTGGCCACATGGCTCGGCAGTTCCCGGACTTGGAACACACACACAGCAGTTAAATAATAAAAACAACAAGGCCCGACAACATTTATATAAACCACTACCATGCTCCTGTGCCCACAGCCACTGTTACAGATTCAATTTACAGGTCAGGAGAAGAGTAACTTGTCATGGAAATTCAGGGATGGCTGGTGAGCCTGGGGAGACAGAGCCTCAACACAAGAGCCAGGCCCTACATTACAAATGCCTCCCTGGGACCACATCTCGGGGGAAGAGGCATTTGAGGGACGGGGAGACACAAGGAAGCTCTTTCAGCCACAGCCATCCCACCCTGCATGCCCTAAGGGGCCCTAAGGGGCTTGGGTACCCACAGGGCTGCCTTCCTCAGGGCAAGGTGGCCCCAAATAGCAGGGTGGCCAGCCTGGGACACTGTCAGGTCGGCCTGAGTGTGGAGAGAAGGCAGGATCTTTATGAGTTTCTCAAAACCACACAGGACAGCCAGAGGCACCCCCACTCTCAGGAAATCTCCAGGCCTTCACATGTCTTCACTTAGTAAGCCTCTTTTCGCTGGTTCAGACTTAACTCCTGCTCTGTATACCAGCCCCGTTGGAAGGATCTGAATGGCCAGTGGGTCACAGAAGCACCACCAAACCACAGAGCAAACAAAGTAGCCCCAAACTAAGGCGGCTGGTGCCACGGGGGTGGCTCTGTGGCCTGCTGCTGCCCGAGTGGCAGAGCACCAACAGGGAGGGGACACCTGGCTTGTGCTGGGAGGGGCACGAGGGACCCCACATGGCCAAGGGGGCATATAAAATAAAGGGCCGGCTGGGGTACAAGGGCAACACCAGAAGGAGGCCCAATACAATCAAGGCTTAGGAAGGGCTTGCTGGCACGTGGCCAGAGGGAGAGGGGATTCAGGTCAGCCACAGAGACGGAGGCCTCAGCAAGAAGAAGTACCTGAGGGGCCTCAGAGCCCTAACAGAGCCCGGCGGGGCTCAGGGGCTGACTACAAGAGCCCGGGGAGTTCCCCAGCCCGCCACAGGCAGGAAAGACTAAGGCTGAGGGGGTGAGGAAGACGCAGCTCCCGCCTGCCGCTTGGACCCTGGTCTGAGGCAGCAGAAGGGGAGTGAGTGTTCTGTGTGGAGCAGATTCCTACACAGCTCTGCTGGCCTCCCTGCCCCTCTGCTGGCAGCCAGCCCGTCATCACAGCTTCTGCCTAGAGTCTTCCCCCTTCACAGCTGCCTTTCCCATTCCCCACCAGCCGGCAGCCAGCGCGCGGCCTCGGGGGCGCCTGGGCTGAAGACCCATCGCGTGGCCTGTCATGAGCCACAGGCCAGCTCAGCGATGATGTGCAGCAGGCAGGCCAGCAGGCAGGCCGCTCCGGGCCTGGGCTTGGGCGGGCCACACTTCTTCGCATGCCGGTTCCTCACCAGTGGAGATGAATGTTCTGGGACCCAGCATAGGGCGGGGGCAGTGGCGCCAGCCTCCCTGTCTCCAGGGCTCCTGTGCACTTCACTCCCTACAACCACTTCCCTGAGCTGGGAAGGTCAGCACTGGACAGTGAGACACACACCCCAGGGTGCCTTTGACAAAGGAAGTATGAAACCCCACGTCAGATGAGGAAAGACAAATACTTCTTTTAAAAATTTTAAAAAGAACTAGAACCCCACGAGAGAGCTCTCTGCAGGTCACAGTTCAAGGCAATTGCACATGAAGGGGGTTGGGCTCTCCACTCAGCTGGGGAAAGTTCCAGAGCTCCCACGGAAGCTCCCAGCCAGCCCACCTACGATGACTCCCACGGTGTCTGACCCATCCCTCTGGTGCCGGGAAGCAGCAGATGTGACAGATCCTGGGGTGGCTGGGCACCTGCTAGAGCTCTTCAAAGAAGGCCACTCGGGACTTGGCGCTCTGCAAGGTGAGCTGCAAAGAAGCAGAGAAGAAGTTAAAAGGGGGCTGGATTTCTGCTTTCGCGACAGGTGCCGTCCTGCCTTAGGAACTAACCTCAGGGCTGGTTTGGAGTGGAAGGGAAGACTGCTCAGACAGATGCTGAAGAAGCTGGCGGCCAATCCTAAGTAAGTTTCCAGATTTGCCCAGGAACTCAAATTAGGAAGTGACAAATGAGGACATGCCAGGAGGGATGGCTGGTGGACAGAAGCATGTCAGCAGGAAAATGTCATCAATGTCATCTTTTCGAAGAGGGCAGGAGATCCCCAGACGCTGTAATAGAGTCTCACGTTCCCGTCTACAAGAGTCTCTAATGTGCCTCTGTAGGGCCCTGCCTGTGGTCGAGTCAGCCTGGGATGCTCATCCTCTCCAGGGCTCAGAGGACCAGCTTGGTAGTACAAGCCCCAGGCAAGGCAGGCCTGTGTCAGATGAGGAGGAGTGTCTCCCTTCCACTGCTGGTTCTCCCGGTGGCCCCAAAGCAGACTTGCCAGTGACCTGGCAGCTCAGAGGGGGTTTCCATCTACAAGCTGGGAGGCAATGAGCTTTCTAGTTGGGGCCGGCTCGGGCAAGGAGGATGGTGCCAGCGGGGCAGTGCTCTGTCTGGAAACAACCAGGCCTTCCCAGGAAGGCTGCTCCCCTGAGAAGCACAGGGCGGGGAAGCAGCAGAAGGGAGGGCGGAGGATCAGGGGCTGAGCTCCTGGCGTGGTGGCAAAGGCACTAGAATTTGTGACCCCCTGAACTGCTGAGCCCCAATCCCCTGACTCAGGAGGCCACTTCCCAGGATCTCCCCCAACAGAAGCATCTGGCTCGGGCCTCTTGCAGTGCCCTGCTCCCAGCTCCCCTCCTGACATCACCCACTTGGGGGAGACTGTGTGTTCTACATCCAGCTCCTGGACTTCACAGAGGAGGGTCTTCAGGGAAGGGGGACACGGGGTACATACCGTCCATCTTCATATCCCCCAAACCCACTTAGCTTACTGCTTCATACCTAGTAGCAGCTCTGACAATGTTTGTTGAGTGAATCAGATGTAGGCTAGAGAGAAATGGTGGGATGCATGGAAAAGGCAGGAGCTCCACATGGGGCTGAGAAGGTCCAGGCACTAATTCTCCTCTCACCAGCTTGCTGTGTGGCTTCAGTGGACACCCCTGACCTCTCTGAGCCTCTTCCCTCTGGAGTTAAACCACGGAAGCCGGCTGGACGGTCCGGCTCATTTCCTCGACCCCTGGCAGTCTCTAAATGTAAAAAGCCCTTGGTACTATCTCAGCTCCCTAAAGGGTGCGGGAGGGAGGCTGGAAACCCATCGCTTCTCCATCAAACACAAGCAGCGGCAGTGTGCTCAAATGAGACAGCTTGAGAGCCGGCTCTTTAAACCCTGCCAAGTCTCGTGGCCTTGAAGTTCCTCACTAACAAGCTGAGTGTAGGGAGGCGTCTGAACCGTCTTCTTCAGTGGAACCAATTTCAGAAGCCCTCTGGAAGACCCAGCTCTAACAGGAACGGAGAGAGCTTTCATTTCTTTGCTTAAATGGAACTCCCTCTAGAAGGGAGCCAAGTTTGGATGGGTTTCTCCCTAAATGCAGTCAGAAGAGAACGTCCAGGAGTTATGTGCTCTGTGATAATGGGACTCACAATGGTAACCGGGAAAGAAGAAAGAGAACCCGAGAATCACTGGGACAAAATCCTTTTGGGGGAGAATTTAAATCAAAAGCTGTGAAACCCAGGGGCACCTGGATGGCACAGTTGGTGAAGAGTCCAACTTGGTTTCAGCCTGGGTCATGATCTGTGTCCTGGGATCAAGCCCCGTGTTAGACTCTGCTTGAGATTCTCTCTCCCTCTGCCTCTGCCCCCCCACCCCCACTCATGTTCGCTAACACGCGCTCTCTCTCTCAAATAAATAATTTCTCTAAAATAAATAAATAAATTTTTTTTTTTTTTTAAGAAAGGTGTGAAACCCAATGTCTTCACTCAGGTTTCCTCCACGCTCCCAGGGAAGACCTAGGTGGGCTCCTCAGGGGGACAGGGAGATGCCCACAGCCCTCCCCCACACTGAGTCACACACAGGCACAGCCAGGCTGCCTGATCCAAAGCCACTGACCGGCTGGGTGGCCCTGGGCAGGTCACTTACTCGCTGTGGCCCCAGCTGCCCGCCGTGAAGTGGGGGTGATGGCACCCCTTCCTCACAGGGGGACACGCAGAGTTACTGGGAAGCACTGTGAGGCACTCAGCACCATGCGTGATGTGCACAGAGAACTCAACAGCTGTTATTAGTAATCACAGCACCATTTTCTCCCCCCTAGCCCCAGCTCTGGCTCCTCTCCTTCCAGTGGGGGAGTGGGCAGAATGCAGGTTAGAGGCGGTACAGGAGAAGGCAGGGTCACGCACTGTGCTGGCCTTCACGGCCTCCAAGGCAGGGCAAGAGGATGCTCCCGAGAGGCCTGGCCACTTCCCCAGGCAGGAAGCCCAGGCTGTGGGGGCCTCCGAGAGCCTTCCGCCCATTTGTACAATGTTGGCTCCAAGAATTCCTGGATCCTCTACCCGAGTTGCGTGCTGGCTGTCCCCTCGAGGTGCCAGAGGAAGGTTTTGGCAGCTCCGGCAGCGCCAGATTCCAGTTACTCAAGCATGTGTTTGTTGGGATGCAAAGCCCTCTTCGGGTGGGTAAGATGCTTCCCTGGATCCCTACCCGACACTGCACGCCTGAGGAAAGGTTTGGAGCAAAGTCCAATACTCTGGCCATACAGAAGTAGGAAAGCACTGTAGACACGTGGCCTCGGCAAGAGGAGAGTGTACCATGGTCTCCCATAAGGCACTAGGCTGCTACAGGGACAGGCGGACCCACCAGACGGAGGCGGCTGACAGGACTGCTGCCACTGAGGACACTGGGAGCCTCCAGCATCGGCCCACAGGCAGACCTGACTGTTGTGTGATTCCTGGCGGTCCTAATTCCATTAGGGACCCCGCCGTCTGAGGAAATTACCTCCACAAGCGCACTTATCTGCTGCTGGAACCCGTCCAGTCACCACCCCGGCCTCTGCCTGCTCCCCCTTCAGCAGCAGCCTTTAGCTTAGACATCAGAATGTCCTCCTCCGGAGCCAGGCAGCTCTCCCTGTGCTCGTGCAGGAAAGCAGGTGGTGAGAGGAGGGTCTGCAAGGAGAAGCCTTGGGCTTCTTTCCTCTGGGCGGGGACTCAGACGCCCAGGGGCAGAGGTCAGGAGGGCCTCCCGGGCACCGCCAAAAGCAGCTCCCAGCTGCGCTCCGGCCTGGTTCCTCCCACCTGGGATCTGTCACCACCTGCTGTTTCTAGAAAGCTCACTGCCTGTCACGTTCACTGTTAGGCTACAGGCAGGAGGTATTCATAAGAGAGGAGGGGAGGGCTCAGAGGGTCATGGCACAAAGCAAGCCCTTCAGAAAACAAACTGCCTCTATGGATCTTTGTGTGCTCATGAGAACTGGCTACCAAGCAGCCTGGTTCCCCCCCACACGCCCACGCCCTAAGGTGTCCGAGCCCATGTCAGTGTTCGGTTGGCCTTCACGCTCAGCGACTGGCCCGGCTCTCTCCTCACAGCGCCACGGAGATGGCCTGAAGAAGGCCCTCACCTCCCTCTCGCGGGTCACACTGTGAGAACTGAAGCCAGTCTCGCGAGCCCCCCACTGCCACCCTGCGCTCTCTCTGGCGGCCCAGCAATACCCCTCCTCGCCCTCCAGCCTGAGCTGCTGGGAGAGGGGGGCCACTGCCTCTAGGAGCAAGGGGAACTCCCCAAGTCCTCGGGGTGTGGGCTCAATGACCACACTGCCATGGCTTATCTCCGCGCTTGACCAGGAAGAGGTCTCCTCCGAACTTCAGTAGGTGGTGAAGCAGAAAAGCCTCAGGATGCCTCAAGGCCAATGGCTGCATCATTCTGGGACCTGCTGAATCTGGTCCGCCTTCTCAGAGTCCTTCTGAGGACAAGCGGCTAGAGCTCTGCCTGAACACAACTAGTGACCGTGTCTGCCACGCACCGTTCAAAAGTCACACTGAATCCAGACAAGGGCCAGCCCTGGGGCTCCCAGAGGTCATTCCCAGCTCCTTTGGGAAGCTGTAAACCACAGAGGCCCTGCACAAGGCCCCCAACCCGCAGTGCTCTTGCCAGTTCCCTAAAGATGACTAAAAGAACATGAAGTTTCCTCACCAGGCACTGGGCTGACCCGCTTCTCTCTTCCAGCTGTCTCTTCACATCTGATTAAAATCAGCCGTGTGAATAATACAGGAGGAATTAAGTTCTCTCTTGACTGAACCGGCTGTTCAAGTCTGTCACTAATCCAATTCCATTCTGAGGAGACAAAGTTCCTTTGCTTTCCCTGCTGCAGATCTATACGGCTTGGTTTTTATCTTACAGGGGCTCTGATCCACCTGTTGGGCCTGGACCCTTCTTCCTGCTCAGCCTCGACAGCCTGGCAGAGTCCCCTCTCCTCCTGCCCATTTGTCCGTCAAACCGCCAGGCTGTGAAAGGGCAGGAGAAGGAGCCCCTTGGAGAGCTACACCTCTTCAAGCAATCACAACAGTGTGTGGTATCACCACATGGACACATCCATCTAATCTCAACAACTTCAGATTCGGGAGACATATATGTCTCCTGAAAAAGACAGAGGAGGCTGGCTCCTCTCAAGCCTCAGCAGGACCAGGTGCCCAGCAGGTTCTACCCAACCCAGGCATGCACGTCAGATGCAGACTCAACTGGTTCCTGCTCACTGGCTAAGCATTTCAGGCAGCCCATCAAGATACAATGATCTGGCACTTGCCCACTTCTGAGAAATGGCTCCGGGGTCTGGGGACAGCAAGCCTGGAAAGGCACCTGTGACAAGCACCAGGCTCACCAACCCTTCCCAGCCTGCCCTACCCCCCCACCCCGGAAGGCGGCCTGCTACAAAGGATCCTCTGGCATCATTCCCAAGAGTGCCCCCTGCTGGAAAAACACAACATGAGGCGGGCTGCCAACTCTCCT